ATTAAAAAGCAGTGGGCGTGATGGGGGGGGGTTAGAGTGTCTTTCCAGACTCTTGGAGCCTCTTTTAGTCCAGGTCAAACAAAGTGACAGCAGGATTCCGATTAAGAGGTCTCACCATTCACCACAGTATCGCAGCTCTGAGGAGGTCAGAGCACCTGGCAGAGGTCAACGAATCATGCAAACACACACATAGCTGCACACATAGCTCAGAGGACAACACAGTGCCCTAAAAATTGTGTGCTGAGTTTAGTGTCACAAACACTGTCTTTAGAAGGTTTTCCCACCGGTAATGGAATCATAAGCATCCTTTGGTTTATCAAACCGTCATACTTACAGCCCTATCTGCATGGACACTAGGCTTTGGTATAAGTACTGACAGAATCTAGCTTATACCAAATAACATTTCAGCAATGAGAACCATATGATTCAAGCAGTTGACAGTGATGGAAGTTTTTAGGTCAGCACTTCTGTAAAAGTTACAAGCAAAAATCATGCATTCAAAATCTTATTGGAAGTAAAAAATACATAGATATTATCAGCACAATGCAATTAAAGTATCAGGATTGATATTAAAAAGAGTCATTCATTTGGTTGGTTGCCTTTTTCAAAGGTACTCGCGCTAATAATTTCCAAACAATATTTGCTTCTCTCAATTAACTGAATAATTAGCAGAACACAGTTGAACATGTTGGGATATTAGAGCAGTTGAGGAAGAAGAGGAGTTGGTGGAAAAGAGGGAAACATTGCAGTTTTAAGTTAAAACGTTTAGGGCTTTACGGTAACAGGTGCACCGCTTTCTGGTTTCCCAATGTGAGGAACAGATAGATAGTAACACGCCCCAGGCTCCTTATATCTCTATCAACCCTCAGCATACATTCTTCCATGACAAACCAGACATTAGAGCAGATGGAGTGATATAGAAAGAGAAAGAGATTGTGAGATACAGTGAATGTTGTGTAGGAGTTGATGAGAAAGATCATCAGCAGAACAAAAGAACTGGCTCCCATTTTCATTAGATTCCTAGCGTGACGTATTTGCTGTGGTTTAAATCAGAGTTTAAATTTGCATGATCTTTGAAATGTTCTCAATCAGCGAGGGCAGGATAAGATTTAGTGGTCAAACAGTCCTAAGGGAAAGGAAGAGCAGGAAAACAAGGTGAAAGGAGGAGCAAGTGGGATACAGGAAAGAGAGAAAGAGAGATATAAGTGGGAGGAGAAAGGTGATGAGAGAGCCCCTCTTCTCAGCAGCAGTCGTGCGTTGAGCCAGTGCTAATGTCTGTTTGTATGCTACCATGCATGGCTGCACGCACACACGCACACGCACACAAAACAGTCACACACAACAGACCAAAGCACCAGGACACTTGGGTCTTGGTTTCTTACTCCATGGGTGAGTTTCAAGGCATGAAAGGCAGGTCGCTTGAACATCTTGTGACATCTATCCATCTTGCGTTTCCCTGTTGTTCCCACCCTGTCAGATTGGGCCATAGCTCTCTGTGGAGCCATTCAAAGTTTTGCACAACGTGAAAGTTCGACACCGAAGAGAGTTTGATAAAGTTTAAGAACATTACTCAGAATTGGGCTTGCGCAATGGTAGATTTTCTTTCCTGGAGGTGCATTAAAGTACATTCTGCAGAAACTTGACTTCCCCTGTTGTGAGCTCACCTTTTGTCATATTACTGCAGAGATAGGGTGAGATATCTGGGATTTATTAAAACATTTCATATGATCGTATTTGAAACCATGTCCTGTAGGCATGGGTTTGTGTTCTGCAAGCTGAGTGCAATTTTACAGGTTCATAACTTCCAAATAATAAGTTACCTGGAAAGGAATATGTACTGTATGTATAATATGTATTTAGTAGTAATTATATTGAAAATACCTTATTTCTTAACTTAAATTATTTTATTATAGATTTATTAATGGAAACATTATTCTCCATATATGTTGAATTGTATGCTCACCTGTAGACAATGTTGTTCATATATTGTAAAATGTCCCTTAGTTAAAGTATCACAAACATTTCAAGGATGGTTGGTGTCAATATGTGAGCATCATGGGCTTTTTCCTTTGGTTTGAGAGCAGAGAACATTTGCTGTGATATGTTAATGTCACAGCACTAATGAGGGACAGATAGAGAATATATATAACAAAGACAGGGTGAGAGAGAGAGAAAGAGAAACCACAGGTGAGAGAAAGCATTCACACCCTAAACGAGCTGATGAGAAGTGAAGGAGAGGCGGAACGCTTTGTGGAAAAGACCTACATCCATGTTTCATCCATCATCTGTTCACCTCTTTTCTCCGTCTTTTATCACTTGTGGTTCTACAGTTTAAACATGTCTGAATGAGATATATAGTACAGCCTATATGTACAAACTTGGGTGATGGTGCAAAATAAATAGATTTTAAAGTCTAGTAAAGCTGGAGCTTTGGCTGGAAAGACTTTAATTAATTTCAATTGTGCATATGAACTTTCGGGACATATACTGTATAAGGTGTGCCTTAGACAGAAAACTCTTCCTTCTTTCTCTTTCTCTTCTGACTTGATGCCAACTTGCCCTTGAGGCTCTGTGTCTATGTGTGTGTGTTATTCTGTGAGGGTGTGTGTGAGTGTGTGGGCAAGCTGCACAGCACGCACCCTTGTGTGTTACCACGCCAGATTCCCTCAGGTGTCAGCCACAAGAAGTGCTCACACACACAAATGAACAGATAAACAGCCAAATATAATTATACACACGCACATAACTCTCTCTCTCTCTCTCTCTCTCTCTCTCTGTTTGTGTGTTTGTGTAACTGTGCACCGGTGTGTGGGTGGAAGATAATGTCTCTGACTTACATGAAGACCTTACAACCCTTGTTGCTTTTGGATGGTAGCATGAGTTGTGAGTTTTGCCTTTGTTTATTAGGAGGTGTGTGTGTGTGTGT